TAAATTTTATGAAACTTAAAGCATGAATGTAAAGTAACCAAACCCCCAATGCAAAGTGTTGTTTTGATTATTAGTCAGGTTAGGTTTATTAGCAAAATGTTAGAAAATCCTGGACAGTAGAAATTGCAGCAACAAATGCCTTCAACAGTAGAAAAGCCCAGACTAGTGAAATCAGATTTTCTAAAACCAAATCAAAACCATTAATGTCAATTTAAAGTAAATCTCATGATGCAGGTGATTTGTTGAGAGGAAACAAGGATGGCGGTGGATGAGGAACCGGGTTTAAGGGTGTTCTGGAACATCCAGATGATAAACTGCTGCTTCAGTTCTCGTGCGGGGGCCTTAAGAACTCATGCCACCTATAATCTAGGAGGTTCTCTCTTATCTGATTATGAATGCGAGTAAAGAGGATTTAGGTGCTGGTGCCTAAATGCTAGGCTGCACTGATTAGAGGCCTGTTGGAAAGGTTATGCAACCAGAAAACTACAAGAGCAGAGAAGGTGAGCTTGACCTAAACTCTAATAAAGAATATCTAACTCATTTGCTGTCATTAAAGTAATCAGATTACTGCCTGCATAGAAATGCTGGAGCATAATGGTTTTACTTTCTGAAAACTGACCACAACTCCCACAATAATGGAATGGCAGGTAGTGAACCAGCTGCTTGGATCAGACTCTCAGGCGCACAGTGAAAAAGAACATTTGACTTATTGCTGACTAAAGGGCTCACACTCCTCCATGTTCCCTCATCTTGGACTCGTTGGCTGTCAGGATCTACATCAGTGTGCACGCGAGGCTAAAGCCTGGAAAAAAGGCGGTCTGCAGTGATCTGAAGCAGGCGTTATGGAGCAAAAACAGCGTGACAGTAAAGTTTGTGGTGGAGTGGCTCTGGCTGCTTCCAAGCAAGGCCCAACCAAACGGCTAAAAGCAGCGCCGGCGCAGGCTTACTGCTTATTTCCACAAGCTAGACTAGCTTATTAGATAATAGGGGAGTAATGGTGCATATCCACATTAAGAGCAAGAACAAGGCGAGACGTGGCCTGTGTGTGTGTGTGTGTGTGTGTGTGTGTGTGTGTGTGTGTGTGTGTGTGTGTGTGTGTGTGTGTGTGTGTGTCGTAGAAACAGAAAGAAAGATCGATCTCCTTAAAATGCTCTAAACTTTATGACTCTGTTTTCTGGAGCACCTTAATATTGATAAGGCATCTTAAAAGGTTTAGAACAGACTTTGTGCTACATTCCAGAATCTGTGCGTATAATTATTTTTTATTATTACTTTACTCTACTTAAACTATTTATTAATAATTTTTACCAAAATCAACTTCTAAGAAAAGCATCTTATGTTTTCACACTCTAATCCAAAACAATTTTTACCAAAAATCGAGAACTTCAACAGAAAAGTTCTGATAAATGGGCTTCATGTTAACAAGATCTGGGTCTTTAATCTCTAAATTCTGAAAAAAATAAACGTAATGATAATAATCTTAGGCCTAAAGGCATCACAGAGCGTTTGTCAGGATTATCGAGGAGAATGTCATTCAGCTGCAAGACATTTTTTCTATTACTAACTTAAATTGAAGTAGTTGTCATTTTGCACTGATAATACTTAAAGCTTATAAGCATTTCTAAGATGAAATATGCAATGTTAGCAACTTAAATTACTGCTATTATTATTTTATGTGCATAAGTTCATCCAGTTCAGATCATTATTTATCGTTATTGAATTATATTGGTAACTTAATTGGAAATTAAAGAGGCAATGTGTAGTTTTTATCATGAATTTCTAGAAATATTCATCAAAATGTTGAAAATGAATGAAATGATGCCCAGTTGTTAAAAATATTGGCGGCTTCATAACATACAACCATAAAAATCAGGTCTAAAAAACATGGGAGTGGGTCTAAGTCTCTGGGCGACGCCATATTAGATGCCATGTTTCCTTCTGCGGGAGCCAATGAGGACAAAATGCATTTACTGATTTGTAACAAACAGTTACAAAACGTTCGACATTCTTAAATGTTATTGTTTTACACATTTACCGCTTCACCTGTTGCCAGTGACGAAAGAGTGTCTGATGTGCCCATTATTTTGCTAGTTTGTGCTCGCCAGGGCTTTTTGACCCTAATGGGCATCCGTTGGTAAGGTCTTACTCCAACAAAAAAATACTGCTCCCTTGCAACGTTTTAGGTATCTGCTGCCCTCTGTTGTCAGGAAAAATACACACTGTCACTTTAAGAGTCATAAAATATCAGATATCGGTAAAAAAAAGCCAATATTGAGCATGCCTATTTTTTTTATTAGAGCCAGTTCACAACAAGAGTCGTCTGAAGGCGCTTTACAAAGTAAACATTCCAACAGAACCTACTAATAAGTTCATCCAGTTCAGATCATTATGCTAACAAATTTGAAGTTTCCTATGTAAGGAAACTCGGCAAATTACATCGAGTCACTGACTTGTTTTGTCACTGACTTTACAGCAATTTCCATAATAAGCAAGCATGTAGCCACAGTGGAGAGAAAAACTCCCCTTCAGAAAAGAATTAGTCTCTTAATACCTAGCCCAATACCTAATCAATAAACCATCTGAGACTTAATTGATGCTTATGTGCTCATCATGGCCTTAAACGCTAATGAAAAACGACAAACAGGAGATATTTATAGGTCTGGCCAGCCAATAAATGTGAAATCAAAGTACAACTTTTACTACCAACACTGTTCAAACTAACTTTGGTACAACTGAAACACTGATTTTGTCTTTTGGGTTTTATGGTCGTTCAGGATTTGGTTTCCTTGTCAAAAAAGGCAATCAGACTATTTTTGGGAGTTTGAAGGTAAGACAAGCCTTTAAAACCGAGGCCATCAACTTTGAACTAGTCCAGCTGAGTGGGCATCCACTTCTCAGAGGTAGATCTTCTGAAATGTTACGTTTGACGTCGACTGTCAAAGTTGATCACAAGATAACTTTAAGCAAACTGTTGATGAGCAGTGCAGCTTGCATCATCTGTCAGTGGCTGTGCTGTCATAGCTGATCAGTGGTCCAACTGTTCTCGCAGACTCCTCACCAGCACAACACATCAGACCAAAAACATGCTGGTTTTTCCGGGAGGATGGAGGATCTTGCATTAACTTGAGGTGTTAATTTTAGCACCTGCTTCTCAACCCTAATCCGAACCCACACAATGAAGCATCGAACACAAATTTCAACAGAAACAAAATAACTTTAACGGTTTCAGTCATAACTTCTCTGAAAAGGCTTGCAAACCCAAGATTCAGCATCTTGGACCTAACATGACTGCATGGGTTGCATCCCTCAAGCCTTGGGCTCCTGTCGGCCACCTCTACTCTGGCGTCTCCGGTGCATCTCTCTGCAGCTTTTAGCAACTGCTGGATTCTCTAGCTTTTCAGGCCACCCTCCCAAGGCATGTGCCTTCTTAAATGAAAGTGTGACTTGATTGGACCCCCCCCCCCCCCCCCCCCCAAAAAAAAAAGGTCAGTTCTTTCTTTCTTAACCTTTATTTTGTGGCCATAGGTGGCATAAAGCAGCAGACTGGGCTCCCATGAGATTTGCTGATGCCACATGACTGACTGCACTTGTCAAAAGGGCTTAAGGGAACTTGTATGAAAGCTTGCAATTGTGCAAAAACCTAATAATGGCATTTCTTTAGTCAAGAGCTTTCAAAAGACTTTGCTCCCTGTGCAAAAGCTTCCCTGACCTCAGGGAGCTGCCATAAGACAACCTGGCATCCCTTGAACTCCACACTAAACTGCACTTTCAGCCGTGGACCTCCTGAGCTCTCAAAGTCCTGTTTAAGTTCTCCTCATACGGCTGTCAGCAGAAATGTTAATGCAGTTTGAACCAAGATAGAATTTCCCTTTAATAAATCAAGGGCTTCCCCCACATAATACTGTACAGGTCAGCGAGATCCGTCTGGAGTGGAGCAGGACTGCACGGAAGAGTAAATCACGTTAAATATCACACAGCAGCATTGCAAATTACTCAGCTGCTGTCGCTGGAGTTTCCCTCGAATTAGATATTGGCAGTCTTTGTCTAATTTATTCACGTGCTACACGGCTTCTCTTAAAGAATGAATGCAGTTATCAAAGCGGAGGCACAATCCTTTGTCGATCGTCATTCATGGGATAAAAACAAGCCAATATTAAAGGAAGGAGGAAACTTGCACATAAGAGCCAATAACAGAGATAAATCCCACACATTCCAGTTTTGTTTCCTTTTAAAATATTAACAACCTAATCAGATTTCAGCCCCATTTGGACTGAAATTGAATCTGGAGTCATTTCTGAGCTACCCATGGAGTCTTCTCTTGAAGTGGAAAGGGTTACGAACGATTCACCAGCATGCACAGGCCCTGGAGCTGTGTTCGTCACAAACACGATGTCTTTATGATTTTCAGATGAGGGATTTAATCCCAGATTGGCACAGCGGTTCGATGAGGGATGCCGGAAACTGGGTTTCATCAATGCCGATGCTACTGAGACTGGGGATCGTAAAAGTGGTTGTTTTCATTTTCAAAGTGGTGTGAAAGACAATTTTATCTCCTGATTCAGCAGTTTTGTAGAAACTGGAGTGAATGGTTACCATGGAGAACGTAAACCTTCAGTCATAAGTAAATCAGCATTTGCATACCTTCTGTTATCATGGCTGGCGTCGCGCTCAATCAGACACAAAGACAAGTAGATCTAATCAGTTAGACTTTGGCTGATGTACCAACGTCAGAATCAAACACACCATTTCATCAAAACTCTTTATGTTCAGTTCTATGTTCTCTTTCCTGCCACTGCACTCGTGAAGATCTGTCTTGTCGACCCTTAACAACCGCCGCTGTACAAGTTTCAAGCCGATGAACTCATGTTTTGCAGTTCACGTGGGAGTTGTGCCTTAACAAGCATGCCTGCAATGTGTTATTATGCAACCGGGGAGCTGAGCTACGGTTGTGAGCGGGAAATGTGAGATCTGAGATCTCGCTCCTCGTTTCGGACTCCTAC